TAAACCGCTTTTCTATTGAGGTAGTGTGTAAATATAACAAAAGCAAAAACACAATGCTGATTGTCGCTTTGTAGGGATGTAAAATAAACATGAGCGATTGACGAACTGTGTACGAGCCTGCAGCGCTCAAGTTGCTGACGTAATCAAACAGCATAGCACGCGCACTTGAAAACATCTTATTTTTTTCGAAAAGAAAAAGCAGCGAAACACGTTCATGTTATAAACATAGTATTAGCATGTGGTCACTCATTATATGTGCATTTCTCATCGTTAGAGATGTACAATCAATGTCACAATCTATAGATGTCTATAGATGTTTCGAAGGATAATCTTCCCCATGGCAAAACTAACACGTTATCATGCAAATATGTTTTGTTATAATTGCAACAGATGTGAGTGGTTCGTCTCAATAGGCACGAGTAAATAATAGTTCCCCCGTGCACATAAATCAACAAAACACGAACAGATTTGTATGCTACTCTCACATGCCGGTAATGTCAATATGAAATGAGGTCGCCAATTAGTATCAGATTTTGCATTGTATGATTTCAATATTTCAGAATGTTTTTAAACTTCGCAAGTGTGACATTGATGTAAACATGGATGCAGAGTTTGATACACACCGTTATTCTGAATGTATCATTACTATTTACACAAGGTATCAAGCCAAAAAAACAGGCTCGAACTTAAAAGGCGGCGGTGGTCCTGCAGCTCGCGTTCGAATACTATTTTACATGTGTTTTATACGTCCTATTGAACGCAGCGTGACCCCTGCAGAATGTGAACCCACGTCAATCATCAAAATAATCAGGTTCACGCATAATCTAATTATCACTGGGCTATTAAAATCATTTACTACATCACAAACAATGTACTTCAAATTACACAACAAACTAAATTTAATGTGCCTGTGAATAAAAATAGTAGGAAATTTAACCCTTACAACTTTTTGTTTTGGAGGTTCTTAAGGTAATTTCATTGGCTATCGTTTACTGCAGTAAATGGTCACTTTTGTCAAACATCCGACTCTTCCATGAGAATGAGGATAGCCATGTACCTATGGTGAGAAATAGTGGACATTATTTGCATTCGGTAGCAGGCCGCCACTCAGGCCCGTAATTGAACTAACTAATCGTTCTGCAGCATGTTTCAAAACAAATAAACGAATGAAAAACGAAATATTAATGGTCAGAAGAAAAATTAGCATTGTGGTGTTATATATGCGACTGATGCCTGGATATAATTAATACAGTACTGTTTCGTGTGTACTTTCATAAACATGTACTCACTTGCCGCAGTTGAGAAGACTATTTTCTTCTGAAACAATTACAATTAAAACAGATTTAAGTGTCTTGCCATTATACGTATGATTGATGTCTTTGATATCGAGAACTATGTTGTGTTTAGATATATCGAGCCAAAGGATTGTCGGTTGCCTGGAGCTCGATCATTCACCAGTGATCCATCACGGACATAGGTCATTAGCAGCTTTTGCACAAGCTCAATGAACTAAATATTGTACTGTGATGGCCAAATCACCAAATAGCGGCGCGCATTATATATTGGTTATATCAGGAACACCAGCGACTTCCAAACCAGTTGAACATCTCTAAAAATCTAAATAATTGAATCAGATCTGGACACCATCCATATCAAAAAAAATAAGAAACTTGCGGGTAAATCTGCAATTTTAAGGCAACGTGAATAGATATATATTATTGAAATGTTTTGACTTGATTATATTGTATTGTATATTGTCTTGGGAGTCTTATGGTTTGGCTTTACAGAATAAAGTGCTCTTATGCACATCAAACTGCAGTGTTAGTTCTTCAAACTTCTTCAGTGTTTTCGGCACAAATGACAATGGTTAAATATCAATTTCTAAGAACCACAAATTCATAGATTTCTGGCTGCCGTGACAACAATCCACAATATCTAAATGATAATTTATTGACTTTAAGATCACACATGAACATAGTGCATTTGCAATGATGTTGCTAGTAATAATACACGATTCAAAGCTTTTTACCTGCAAAATGGTTAGACAAAATGTTAAACCCTTGCACCATGACCACGGCTGCCAGCTTTTACTGCCGGTTATATTGTCAGTGCTTACATTGTATGAAAACACAATCCATGCATCTTTGTTATTAGAGCCTATGGTGTGTATTATTCCACGCTGCCAGCAGGGACATTCATCTAACGACGTTGATGTGATCAGTCGGCAATCTCCGGTCAGGCTATGTTTATTTTCCAGTAGTGAATAGCATCAGATGCACGTTTTTAGTGTTGTTTCACTGGACTGGATCAGGGTGGCGACAATACGTACATCCATGGCAAGGCCGGTGTACGCGTATTTCGATGTGCATGGTACACTCGTGGTTAACTCAAGATGTTTATAATTGCCTGTTAAAGGGCACTTTTTTTAAAAAAACCTAAGAGTAAAATTGTGATTTTGATGCTTCATTTGCGAAAAATAATGAAATCTATCCAATGTTCCAGTGCAATGAGCATTACACTACGACACATGGTCAAATTAATGAGTAAAGAAATATGGTCCTGTATTAGAGACACAACTGCCAAATTTGAAACTAGTTGAGGCAAATGTCAGGTACAAAGTAGCTTAATATATTTCTTTATTTATTTTGCGAATTAATATATGGACCTTGTGTAGCGGAATCAACAATACTCGAGTGAGCGTTAGAAAGAGACTGGTCTATACCACATTGCATCATATAAATATTTAGCGGAATAACGTTTTGTAATTTAACTTTCTAAAAACTAGTCTAATTTGCGCGGAAATAATTATTTTATGATAACATGTAACAATACTTATGTGTTTCAATCAGATCATATGATTTGAATCTCATTTTATCCGTTTAAATATTTGAGCAACTGTTAAATACTTGTTTGGTCTAGAAAATGACAAGTTGAATTAAAACACGCTGATTGAACAGGATCAAAATACTGATTCTGCTAAAACACCTATTTAATTTTAATTTATTTAATACCATACCATTAATTAGCCAATCACATTGGAATCAACTATTTTATTCTGAAACGCGATGTGTGGGGGCGCAATTGAATTTTGTCAGCTGTGAAGCTGGGTAGTGTGTGTGTATTTATTTTATAGTGACAAGTACTAGTGTTGCTAATTTGACATCATCTATAACTATATGTTTATTTGCTATCGAAGCAAAACTGGACATTGGCAAAAAACGGTAAACCGTCCAATCCACATTTACATTTATTGACAGGGTTAGGAAGTACGATGTAATGGGCAAATAAGTGTGTCTATGGTTCTGATAGAAAATGGAGCAAGATTTAAAAACAATGAATGCTTCCCATGAAGAATATGATACAATTAGTAAGTATTATTGTCAAGATTATTCTGTATTTAGTTGTGTTTAACGAATACAAATTAAGTTGTTTTATAATTCGCTTATATATATTTCCAGTTTTCCAGTACAGGCTTATATTAGGAGTCATGGTGATTTTTTTGTTGATTGTGTTATCTTTTCGGGGTCAACATGTCTCTGATTAATAGATGGTTCGTCCTTCACCTAAATTAGTCATGCAAAATGACGTCGTCGCGCTGCGCATGTGCGACATTTGTGCCTATCCAATGAGCTCTCCTAATGGAAATCACAAGTGCATGTATGAGGTTTGACTTGCACTAATTACCGCCGGTGACTCCTTCGATACCTTCCAATCACCTAAAAGACACCTAATTAAAGCTTGGTAACGTCTCAGTTTGTACTCGTTCAGTCAAAGTCGCCATCTTTGTTTATATGAGACTCATATATCTCGCGCATGCGTGGCGCGACGACTACCGCCTTTTCAATAACATAAATATTAATTAATGGGAAATCCACAGGAAAACAAGTCTTATACATCCTGTGCTACAAAATTGAATGAAATATCCCCATAAAATAGGAAAACGATTGATTTGTTGCATAAATTTAATTGTGTAATGTTAGACATTAAGAAAGTGTATATTTTAATGTTCGGTTTCATAAAAATATTGTCAACGCTTGTGGAAAAAACACCCCATGGATGCCGCTACTGTGTGTCATCAAGTATAATTTGTTAATAGATATAATTTGCATCTATGTTTAAAAATATTTTACATTACAAGAAATGACCTGAATTTGCTTCTGCTTGATGCAAAATAAACGAATAAGATTTGATTTACAGAAACCTGGACAATAAATGTTGGTAATGTGACCTGACCACATGCACTATTTAATCATGGTTATTCAGTCACATTGTCCCATCTCAATTATTTCATCTAAATAGCTGCTGAGACCAGGGTAAAAAAACTCGTGTTCTGATAGCGATATGCCCGGAGTATCATTTTCGATTTAATTACGAATATGTTGTTTTTCACTATAAAATGCATACATATATTTACACATAGTTTTAAATGACAAATGAATATGAAGTTAATTAGCCCTAACTGAGAACAAGACTGGAAAATAAACGCACATGTTTATATTGTTAAACAAACTGAAATGATGAACTCACAAGATTATCGTGTACGTTTTAGTAAATATTTTTTTGCAAATGACGGCAGCTTCATTACAAGGGATAACAGTGTGCACATTGTGTGTTACAACATGAATCATGCTTCATATTTGGGGTGGGTGGCAACACTCCTCCACATCCTAATATGATATCATTATGGGGTACGTGCATGGACCGTCATATGTCAAAAATAAATAAAAAAAAAATTGAAGTTGTTTGTTTTCTTTATTCATTTGTACCATCATCAATAGTCCATCCCTTGACGAAACGATCTTGTATCATCATTTATTTTAAGAGCAAATAGAGAAAGACGAAGAAGAAACAGCAACTAGTAGTCTTGTCGGTAATACTGCTAAGTCAATCAATTATGAATCAACTTCATCGCCAGAGCAGAATGACAAGATTGCAGATTCTGATGATGATGATGATAAAAGTGTGAGTGTTTATCCTGTAGATGAATATTTTATATTAGTATATATACCAAAAACATCTCTGACACATTTCTTAGGTATTCTAATGCATTATTTAAACGATCTATTGTAGTAGATGCGACTATAATCATTCTCGGTGCATATATTGAAAACTACGGCGCATGAAATATAATGATCTATTGTAAAAGGTGTGACTGTCATCTTTCGAGATGTAGTATTATAAACGTGCATTGCATATAATAAATTACATATTGTAATATGCAGTGCGTGTCGACCACCTTTTCCAATGAATATATTAATACACGCGACGCATGAATTACATTGATATTGTAAAAGACGTGAATTGAAAACCCAGGGGAAGTTTTCGTCCGGCGACGTTTTATTTTTCGACTCAATAAAGCACGAGAGTAGTTCCGAATGTTGCAGAAACGTTCTGGTTGGCGATTTCGATACCAATGAAATTGTCCATAGGTGAATGTATTAAATAAGTATTGTGGACAAGCTGATATGTTTTCTCTTCGATGGTTCGCGGTCAAATGATGACTTCACACGGATAATTGTTGTGTTATTCGAGTGAACATTATCTTTAATGACAGAAAAAAAGACATCTTTGCCCGAGGTGCAGCCGAAGTCAATAATTCCCATGAAAACCATTATGACTGAATATTGACCGACACTGTAATAACTATATGTTTTATTATACGAAATAATATATATATATATATATATATATAAACGCAATATATGTAATAACTAGCTGAACTGGACATTTATTTTGTCATGTTTTTGTTATAAAAACTGTGAGCAGTATAACAAAATAATTTAAATTCACAAGATGTATGTCATTAACCCGGGTCAATAACGGGGTTATTTGCCACGATGTGACCATGTTCTGTTCAATCAACATGACGATGTTGAATACGAGTTGTTATAATATAACACCCAGTTTGATTACCGGCTAACAATAGTGGTTATACTATATGTGATGCTTTGATAGATGGCCACAGACACTATAAATAATTCCGATGTGATAGTGTGATCATTATTATAAGAATGTCTTTTATTTTCTCAGCCTCGGTTCAGTTTCCGAAAACTTTGGGCTTATACTGGTCCAGGATTTTTAATGAGTATAGCATACCTTGATCCAGGAAATATTGAATCGGATTTACAATCAGGATTTGTTGCTGAATTTAAGGTAAATACGCTTTTTGGTCTACTTGTAGAATTTCTTTCTGATTCCTGATTCCTGACCATGTGCCGCCTATAACTTGCCCATACACCCCCTACACCATGTTTATGTACTCGCACGTGCTGTCCATATGTCACACACTTCCTGGTCATTTACCACCAGCATTCTGACTACCTACATTACACGTCCTTCCATGGGCTGAGCAAATCCGGCTTTCCAATTGGCATCGAGTCAATGTACATCATTATATATCACATTATTCACTTGGATAATTGTCTTGTATGTTGTCTGTATATCTCTGCAGTTGCTATGGGTGATAGTACTTGCTACATTCCTTGGATTATTACTGCAGCGTCTGGCAGCGAGACTGGGAGTGGTAACAGGGTTACATTTAGCTGAAATATGCTACATAGAATATCCCATGGTGCCTCGAGTTGTCCTTTGGGTGATGGTAGAGATCGCTATTATTGGATCTGATATGCAAGAAGTCATCGGAACTGCTATAGCTTATAATTTACTGTCGAGCGGAAAGTAAGTGTTGATTGGTTGATTTGAAAAGGAAATTAATGTTGATTGGTTGATTGGTTGATTTCAAACTAAAAGTGAGTGCTGATTGGTCGATTTCGTGCTTTGAGGTTTATAACTATCATCCCATGATTACTTTTATTATTCGGTTTCAATATTTTCTATTATTATTTTTTACAGAATACCACTTTTTGTTGGAGTTTTAATCACTATATTAGATACATTTATATTTTTATTTCTAGACAAATACGGTAATTCCATTTATTTAATTGAAATATCTGAAATACAAATGTATGTAATTATATTGTAAACTGAATCTTGGAACGTTACTTCGCCAAGACCGGCACTCACGTATGATCTTGGTTTGAACTGAATGTTCACTCTTGTTTGCAGGTCTGAGAAAACTGGAAGCAGTGTTTGCCACTCTGATCTTTATAATGGCTGTGACATTTGGCTATGAGGTATAAATCTATGTTATCTCCAACTCTCAAGTTACGTTGAATTAGCCTAAAACGACTTTGTTATTAGGTGCAATGACAGGTCATTACAATGTACGAATTTATACTACATACTCTGTATTAAATGATGACTATTATGTTCACAAATAATAGTTTATCCACGTGTCTTGTAAATATGGTTATAGTCTCTTTCGAATTAAATACTGCATGATTTTGTTTGAACTCGTTCACTATTCGCGTTATCAATGTTGTACACCGCTTTCTTTTTCAGTATGTTGTAGCATCCCCAGACCAGGTCGGGATAGTCAAAGGAGTTTTTATACCCGGATGTGGTCCTTGTACAACTAAAGCTAAGGAACAAATCATCGGTATATTAGGTGCGGTAATTATGCCACATAATATTTATTTACATTCGGCATTAGTCAAGGTGAGCACAATGACGTCAGGGTGAAATCGTCTAGAACGTCAACTATTCGTGATTCTTCGTCATATTTCTTTGACATATACAACCCAAACAAATAATAGAGAATAAGCTCTTCAAAAAATTCTTCTCTTGAATTTTGTCAGAGGAGAACTTGGAACTCGCGGCAAGCGAGGTTGTTTGGTAACGGATATAAGACCTCGAAAATTAGCATATTGGGTGGCAGATAATATCCGAGCATGGTATAACAGACTCAGCAATAGTAGGTATAGTATATTGTATGCTCTACGAATTTAAATATTAATTTCATTGACTTTTTTCAGTCACGGGATATAAATCGAGACAACAAAAAGGAAATCAAAGAAGCAAACATGTATTATTTTATCGAATCTGCCTTGGCGTTATTGGTATCTTGTGTTATTAATATATTTGTAGCGTCTGTATTTGCTGAAGGTTTATATGGGAAAAGTAATTACGATATTGTGAGTATATTTAATACATATATAATTACAGTGAACTGTCGTTGTAGACATCTTTGATCGAGTTGGTGACACAGTTATAGCACAAAAATATAGATTTGTATTAGTTAAACAGTGGTAAATAAATATAGTTGTAAAATACTATTCGATATTTGCATTTTTTTAATGTTATACAAAATAATTTGAACTGTTTCTTTTATTTCGTGTCTTACACATACTATTAATTTTAACAGTATCAACAATGTGAAACACGCGACAGTCCTTATTCAGATGTGTTTTATGAAAATACTACAGTAGTTGAAATGGACATATATAAAGGAGTGAGTATTTTCCACGTGTCACGTACAACTCCTTAGTATCAAACAAACTCACACACTTTATGAATCGTATTCTAATTTATGGTAATTAGACGTGGCGTCTAAAAACTTCGGTGTACGCGCATTTGAAATTAAGGTGGTTTTAGAAATCAACATAAATATTAACTTTATGATGACAGTAGCGTAGCTGTTGTTATCTAGGCAGTTTCGTTTCGTATTGTGTTTTTGCCTACTGTTGGAGCACACACGTTTAGCATGCATATCGCACGTCACTACTGTAAATAATGCACACGATAGTCACGTGATAAACTGCTAATATTTATTCTATGTATCTGAACAGGGTGTATTTTTAGGCTGCTTTT